TGTAACTTACTTAGGAACTTGCCTGGAGCACAACATTTTAAGCATTTTCATGGAGTTCGTTCCCGGTGGCTCCATTTCCAGCGTCATCAGTCGCTTTGGCCCGTTGCCAGAAGTCGTCCTTCGCAGATACACCAGGCAGATTCTGCAGGGGGTTGCCTATTTACACGCCAACCGCGTGGTGCACAGAGACATCAAGGGCAGCAACGTGCTGCTGATGCCCAGCGGGACGGTGAAGCTCATTGATTTCGGCTGCGCCAGGCGCTTGGCCCGACCCGGCCCCGGCGGCCCCCGCAGCGAGACACTGTGGTCCGTGCGGGGCACTCCCTTCTGGATGGCCCCAGAGGTGATCAGCGGGGCCGGCCACGGCCGCAAATCCGACATCTGGAGTGTGGGCTGCACCGTGTTCGAGATGGCCACGGGAAAGCCCCCCCTGGCTTCCATGGGCAGGATTGCGGCCATGTTCTACATCGGGGCCCACAGGGGGCTGATGCCGTCCCTGCCCCAGGGATTCTCCGGCGCTGCCGTGGATTTTGTGCACGCCTGCTTGACCAGGTATGGAGAACCTCCGCTGGAAACCCAAAGGAACAATGCAGACTGTTTGGATTGTAGACACTGTTGGTGGGAGCTTAGGTGACATCTTATAATGGACATGTCTCTACTGTCAGTGCTTAGGCTTCTCAGCATTTCAGGAGAGCCTCTAAATAATAGTACATATAAAAGAGCTTTACTCTCTATAATGGTACAGAAAGACCCTCACAAATTCTTTCTTTGTAGGCCTTACTCTCACAATTTACTTTTCTATAATTTTCATGCAGAAACACCACTGAGTTTTAGAGAAAATGTTTGATAACTTTCTTTCATGTGCTTTACTGATCCAGTACTGCTTGAGTTTGGCTTATGTCAGCCGAGTTTTTTTGGGGACAATACTCTAAATGAAAGGGCTTACACTTATTTCTTTTCTTCTGCAATCTATTATCACTGCCAGTCTAGGAAACACTTGAAACACTATCCATATTAGAAACACCAAGTTCTCTATATAACAACCCCAAACCACTAGCAACCACCCATTATAAGAATTATTTTTGTGGTGTTTGTTTTGTTTTAAATATCAGCTGTGCCCCAGATGTTTAGATGGACTATGAGTTTCAAGAGCTAAATTCCTGGCCTCTGTGTGTAACTTTTAGAAAATTAGGAGCAGGGGTTTACAGATCTCTAAAGATCAGATTTGAGTACAAGGGAGAAGCATGTTATTTAGTGGGCATGGCAGAGGTCTTGGGAGCAGGAAACCCAATTTCTAATCCCTGGATTAGAATTGTTATGAAATGGTTGTTTTTCCTGTGGACCATATAACAATAAGAAAAACTGTGGGCTGTATAAAGTGACATTATAAATATGCTTTGATTCAGAGAGAAGAATGTTTAAAAGGTCTGTCACCCTGACTGATGGAGGATCAAATGAATAAATATCACTCTTCTTAAATACATTTTTTTGGTGAACCTGGAACAGCCAAATTAGCAGAATTATTCAAAGCTCTGCAAGGAATTTAGAGGAATAGAGACTGATTTCTTTAAGAATAAAATATTTCAGGTTTATAATTCATAAATTCCAACAGTCTTTTCCTCTAAAGCCTCCCTTCCTTTCTACCAGATTTATAAAAAAAAAAAAAACTAAAAATGAGCAGTGACTGGAGAAATAAGAAAAAAAAAAGGGCTAATTTTGCATTTAGATTTTACAGTTCCCTCAGATGCACCATACTAATTTCATGTCCTGATTTTTGAAATGCAGGGATCAACACGAACGTCCTTCTGCTCTGCAGTTGCTGGACCATCCCTTTGTGAAAGGAAGACAGTGAATTTTTCGAACCTCTTATCAGTGAGTACCCATTTTCCATATGAAAGATTTCCACTTGTGAAAAGATACCAGAAGGAACTGGACTTTTAAGGGACAGCAGAAATGCTGGAGAGCAGTTGTGTACAAGGAGTCTGTTATTAGACCTTTGATTAAGCAGGCTCCAGGCTTCAAGCACCCTCAAGGTAAAAGGGATTTTATGTTTGAACAGACTGCCTGGTAGGTCGAGCTGTGCCTCTTGTCTCTTGTCCTGTCACTGGTAACACTGAAGGGTCTGGCTTTGTGTTCCTTCCTGTCCTCATTGGGCATTGACACACACTGACTGTTTCTCAAAACCCTGGAAGTGAGCACTCTATAATTAGCTGACATGTAACAGTCTCCATCTGCACTGCAACAGTAACTGTAACAATTAGTAGAAAAAACAGGTATTAGTATTTAGAACGTCCTGTTCCTGATAAGATTTCTTCCTATCAAAATGGGGTAAACTTTAAACCTTTCTGATCACTCAGGCTCCAGGAAGAGATGCAGTAAAACTCAGCCCTACAACTGTTCAGAGCTGAGCTCTCAAGGATTCAGGGCACTGACTTCAGTGCCAGCAGTAACATGAAAATTAGTGTTTTACAGAAGGGTAAGAAGGAAGTTCTAAGTTGTATATAAAACCAACTTTCCTCAGAGTGCTAAACACTTCAGTTTCATAAACAGCTTTCAAGCTTTGCTTTATTCCAGTTGCCTGATTTCAGAGAGTTGGTCTAAATTTTGTAAAAGCAAAGAGAAACCAGTGCTTCTAGCAAAATCCTTTATTGATAGTTTCTGTAGGTATAATGTCACATAATGACAGAACATAATGCCAGTATAAGAGAAATGCCAACATCACAGTAATCTTTCAAGTTCAAGCAGTTAACAGTCCCACTTTAAAGAACACAGGTTGCTGCTCATGCCAGGAATCCAGGGACACGTGACGTTAAAGGATCTTCATATTTAAGTACCTTGCAGAGTAAAGGTGGGAGCCCTGGCACAGGAACTCAGGGGGGATGTACAGAATTCCATGATGTGCATTAATTCTTCTCAGATTAATGTAGTGTCTCCAGCAAAGCTGCAAAGTAAATATGAGGTTTTATTTAGCGTGAAATGAAACTGAGATGACAGATGTAAGTGGGGAAGAATGGGAATGCTCTAGAATATATACTTAATTAATAAAATGTCAGCATTATAAATCCCCTTCCTTATGCACATGACTTGTAAGCAAAACTAACATCTCTTGTTAGAGCTCTCCAATAGTAAGGTTATTAGTTATTTGTAATTTAAGTGTCACGTTTAATCCAGCTAATTACACTAACATTAGCTGGGAAGTTAGAGGTTTGTAAAATTTGACTCCGAGCTTTTAATCAAAATGTGGAAGCACATTTTTGCTTTTGATTAACCAGATGTTGAGATGTTGAGGTGGCAGTTTAAGGCCAGCACTTGAACCAAAGTATCTCAGCCTAATCTGCTGGAGATGAGGGGGGATGTGCCTGTGGCCCAGCCCAGGGCTCAGCACAGCTAAACCAAGCACGACAGTGGCTGGGGCAGCCTTGGGTCACTGGGCTGAGCTGGTCTAGTGGGACATTCTAGAAACAAGTCTAACTTTGCTGTTCCTTACTTGAGGAGGTCACAGATTTTCACATCCAAACCTGGATGCCTAATTAAGGTGTCCAAGGTACTCAGGAGAAGCTGTATATCCCATGAGAAGTGACTCGGGGAGGAGGGTGACACTTGTTTAATGACAGTACTCAAGCAGGGCCAGCCTTACTGGTTTCAATCTGAAACCAGGAGGAGCCCATTACAATTCATGCCAGGCTGCCAAGCACTAGGAGGGTGCTTTGCTGGGACTCCAGGTTTCCTCAAGATTTGGAGCTTAAATCAGGGAACCTGAAAACACACTGTTCTTTTGTGTCACTGCAGGGTACTTGCCAGTCCTGTCACACGGTAATGTTTGAAGCTCTGAGCCATCTCAGGAGCAGGGAGGGTCCTTAGGAATGCCAACCCACCTGTTTCACACTGGTCTTAAACTACCAACAGCAATAGGATGTAAAAATATGCATCTAAAAATACATCTACCTCTTTCCAAGGAAGCAGACACTGAGCCCAGAAAACCCACTGTCTCATGATACCATTTGGGTTCCAAATCAGTGCTTTTTCACAGAGCTAAGCAGGAACTGATGCCATTTCTCCACCCCTCCTGGCAAGTCTCTGGTTCTTGCACACAACCAAAAGAGAACAAGAGTTCTCCTAAGGGAGGGACCTCCAGTGCACACAGTCCAGTGCCTTTTCTCCCTTCTTTTCCCTTCTCCCAGGGACCTGCACCACGAGACAGCCTCAGAAATTTTACAGGTGTTGTCAAAGAACACAGTCTCTCAACTGAGGCAAGGAAAATGCCATAGGTGCAGGAACACAGAGGAATCAAACCCAGCTACTGAAGGTCTAAGGTTAAAAATTGAATTTGGGTTTTTTTATATCCATGTCAGGAGCCAGACAACATAATTCCCAGCAGAAATTGGAGAGAACACTCCTGGCACTAGTTATCTACTTTTTTAAAGGTGTAAGAACTTAGGCATTCCAGAGGAAGGAGGAATTAATTAGCTAGTTCAGTTTGGCATAACTTCCAAGTCTTCAAAGACATTTATTTTTACAACTGATTATGGGAATGTGCATTTACATCCCAACTAAAGAAAGCAAAGTGTTTGTCCAATTCCCTTCCCTGCAAAACAAGGATTGGGAACCCTTCCCCCTAGGTCAGAGAGATGCTTGGTATACAACTGTCACCCACCCCTCACTGCTCAAAGAACAACCCTCCCCTGAAGCCTGGCCAGCCCCTCCACACCTGCAGGGCACAGGAAGGGAGCAGCTGGAGATGGCACAACAGTTCTAGAGCTGCTTTTCAGGTACCAAATACCTGATCACCACCATGGAATGGGAGCACAGGAAACAAATCAGACTTCAGACTTCTAAACAGTCTGTTATTTGACTGATTTGATGTAAACCCAGCAATGTTTAGCCAATAACTCAAAGGGGACCTTTGCGTTTCCAACTTTGTAAAAATTCAGCATAGGAAAACGGGATCATTTCTGCACAGTAGAGGTGAGGTAGGGAATTTTATTGAAAATACTTTTTTCTTTTTTTACAAGATCTTAGAAATAAAGTTTTTGCTAATCTCACACAAACGGCTGTACCTCAAAAATGCAACTAAGCTATTATGAAACATTTCTATTTACAGTTAGCCAGAATGTACAGAACTGCCACGTTATGCAAATAGCCAAGGACCAGCTCACAGTGAGATACATCAGCCCAGCACTCCCACCATCAGGAACAGACCATAATTCAACACACGAAAGAATTTCACTATTCTACAAACCTCAGATCTCACAAACAGGGAGGATTTTTAATAGTGTTGTACCAAGGTCCCCACTACAGCGTCATTTTACAAATTACATAATTCTTGTACTCAAATTTGTAACAAAAACTCTGTAAGAAGTGATGAACAAAGGAACAGTGGTAACTTTGAGCCTTTTATTGCATTTATTCAGTCATTCCCGTGTGAGGCCGAGGCCCATCCCATCAGTTTTCATTCCTTTCCCCCCTCAGCCAGGCTGCCATTTACACCAGTCACTGATTTCAGTCAGGGCAAACTCATGGCACCTGGTGCATCTGCACTCAGCCCCAGGGCTCCCCACATGGAATTCAGTTCCAGACACAATGACACGTACAGTTTCACCTATTTACAATGGCATTGAAACCCAAACCCCGTGAGTTTTATGGACATCCTTTACAGAGAAACCAAAACCCACTGTTTGGATCTCAATGTAGCATAGCAACATTTTGTCCACTATGATTTCACAATTTCCCAGAATCAAAACAGGAGATAATTCTTTTGAAACAGCACCTTAAGAGGAAGGCCTATGCTCATTCCAATGTATAACAGACAGGCACTAGTTACCATCCACACATTTTAACTCCAGCTTGTGACAGAAACTGCTATATTTACAGTACAATATATTGCTTATCCAGAGTGGCTGTATAAGATGCATTTCATGGCACACCTATTTAAACAGACTCAAAAAGAAAGTACTGTAGTGCTTCAAAGACAAATTAAGACAGTTTCCTGCTATGTCATCTCTCTGCCCAGGCTCTGGTTTAGGACAGTCTATAATGCAGATTACATTGGTTACAAATCAGACCCAGGAGTAGCACTGAGATGGGAAGGAAAGGGACTATAAAAGGATAGAAAATATCCAACAATGCAGAAGTTTGTAACAAGAAGTTACATTCCCAACGTAGAAAAATAACCAAGTCAGTAGGGATAAGATAGCTTTGGATTTTGTACACGAGCCTTGACTTAAGCTAAGATATAGCAGAAAATGCAATCAGGTTTCCATTTAAATATTCCTTAAAGTGTAAAAAAAGTATCCATAGTTCAAATAAAACTTATTCAAGTAATTACAAGCGTTTGCATTACTGGAAACAGAGTATTACATAGTAATTGAGATACCTGTAGTTACATCAGACAGCAACTACCGACCGGGCTGAGACTGAACAGTTCTCTCATGTAAAGCACAGGTGAGTAAAGAACTGGAAGGGCAAAGCTGCAGGTGTTCCCTGGGGACTTAGAGAGTTAAGGGAGCACTGAGGGAACGAGCTTAGCAAAAAGTTCACATCATGATCACTTCCGAGTCAAAAGAAGTCAGGAAAACTGGCTGTTGCTACTAGAAATCTACTGAGTTCGTGTTGAGGTACTTCATAGCTTATGAATAGTTTGAGGAACAACCCAGAGAGTCAGTTCTCTGCCCTCCAGGAGGCTGAGCTGCAGTACTGGCTTGGAGAGCACAAGGACATTCACACCCGTCATTCCTCCTGCAGGCAAAGCCCCTGGGAAGAGCAGCCGAGCCCTGACACTTGCAGGCAGATTAAATGGATGCCAGTGGTTTAACTGGGACACTGAGGGGTTTCCTAACCCCCCCAGAGCTGGAAAAGCCAGAACAAGTCTCTTCCAATTTGGTAACTAATGACAAGTACAATGCACAGAATCACTGGTAACTATTTTATTGTTGGAATATAAAGCTAGGATATCAATAGTTTTATTCTTATTTACTGTGAAGAC